TCCTATTTTGCGAGCCTTTTAGCCTAAACGGACTATTCCTAAAGTTGCACGGTAATGTACCAACAGTGTTTCTTTGCTATTCTTAGGTCCCTGGAATCTGAATGAGAATGCTATCACTTTAAAATCCAAAATGGTTGCTACTTGTAAAGATTCAAAATGGCTGCACTCTCAGTCACTCTAAATATCCAAAATGGCCACTGCTTTAAACATTCAAAATGGCTGCACCCTCTGGACAGCAGAAAGTCAATAGCTCAGGCTGTCTCTCACGTTTGTTTCCCTTCCTAGTCACAGGCCACCAGCACTGTCATCCCTGCAGCCCGTGGTGACCAGGGCCAATCTTTAGGTCAATTCTCAGATCCCAATACCACTTGGAAATATTCAGGCTGTTGGTCTAGTCGGAGTAGTTGACATGACAGTCCGCAGCTCCAACTGTCTCTGTACGCACTGTTTTTGTTCAGGTTTTTCCACTAGTTGGTGGCTAATCCACTTCCGTATAGTTCCTTTCAAAGCTCAGGGTTCCAGGATTATCTTCTGTATCTCTGTCAATTGTTTTTTCTTTTATTTGTTGAAGAGGGTCTGTGTCACTTGTCTGCCTATTTCTCCATCTTACTGGAAGTCTCCTGTTTAAAATTACTTTTAAATTGTACGATGCTACTGAAGTGTTAAGCAGAAGAGCTTCTGATGTGAAAGCCCCCAAGAGGCACTTACTATGGATGAAATATTCCATCCTACACTTGAAATGTGAGTGTCCACATACAAGGCAGGTTAGGGCTTTGAATCAGACAGACCTGAGCCGGGATCCCAGTGGCGTGACCCTGAGCAAGTTTAACTTGAATACACTCATTTCCTCTCGGTAAACTGGGGTTCTTGGGAGGATTAAATGAGGTAACTCATGCATAATACTTAGCATTCTGTCTGATTCACACTGAGTGCTACATGGTTTTATTATCACCTCTTAGTTTAGTAACCTATGTAAGTCCTTAGGATGTCTTGGTTTCAAAGGCCCAAGTGATGTTAGCATCAGAAACCCATCTCTTTCACCACTACCCTCTTCCGCTCCCACCTTTGTACCAACACAATGCTTGAGAACTCTTACTGCACCTGACTGAGATCAAACTCTCCTTACTACTTAGACAGAAGTGAGTCAAGCAAAACAGGGTTTAAATCAGTCTGCCATTTATTGGCTGTGTGACTCCAGTCAGACTACCTCTCTTAACCAGTTTCCTCATCTATGAGTACCTAAGTAATTACTTTTCAGGCCTGCTCATAGGACAAATTTGTAATGTGTGGAAATGCAGCACAGTGCAGCACATTTAATCAACACTGCAGAAATAACTGAGGATAAGGACAGAACTGGAACTCACATTCATGCCCTCTTCAGGGACCCATAGTCACCACTAACCTAAAGGTTCGCAGTTCAAACCCACACTGTGGTACTGCAGAAGAAAGGCTGGGCATCTGCTTTTCTTTAGATTACAGCCAAGAAAACACTATGGAATAGTTCTACTCTCCATGAGTCAGAATCAACTCAATAGCAACAGGTTTATTTTTTTGCTTCTCAGAGCCCAAAGGAAAAAAAAAAGGAAAAAACAACTGTCATTGAGTTGATTCAGGCTCATAGTGACCCTACAGGACAGAGCAGAACTACCCCATAGAGTTTTCAAGGCTGCAAATCTTTATGGAAGCAGACTGCCCCATCCTTCTCCAGCGAAGCAGCTGACGTTCAAACCACTGACCTTTTAGTTAGCAGCCGAATGCTTTAACCACTACACCACCAGAGTGCCTTCTTTCAGAACCTAGTTGCCTTGATTTGGTCTGGAGGTTCTAACCAAAGAGGTAACACAGAAGCTGGGCTTTCTTCTGACATTGAGACGGTCATCACTAAGTCGGGGGACGGGCTGTTATCTGGTGATTCTCACTTAAAATGCATGTGCATATACACCCAATCATTAACATCTCTTTATTTATTTATTTTTTAAAAAAAAGATTCCAATACAAGGCCCAGAGTAGTGCATGCAAATGAACAAGTCTCAAATTGATAGTCATTATCAGATGACCAGCACAATCTGCTACCTCAGTCAGTGTCCAGGTAAAAGACCAGCTTCTGGCTTGGAGTCCTGACATAACTATGCCGACATCCAACCTACCACATGGCCCATGATGACTCAGAGGTACATTTTAGTATCTGAACAACAAAGACACAATGGGTCGCAAGTACAATGCGTAAATATCCTTAGTGTATTCGGTAGGGAAAATTACAAACAAGGCCCAGGGATGGAAAAGCCAACTTCATTAGCTGTATGAATCCCCAAAGTCTCTTCCATATATGATCGATATCTAGGGAAACTGGCCAACACCATTATCAAGATGGCTCATTTGCTGATGAGATGGAGCTGTTTGCCTTGAAGGGCTGCAGGAAGGGTGAAATATTCACATGAAGTCAGAACTTGAAGTTGTGGTTACAACCTACAGCCCAACTTTTCCCTGCCATCAACCTGTCTGTAAATCCCAATGTGTGCCTGTATGAATCCTGGGGAATGGTATAGCTAAGGGGTAGAAAATTCTAACTCCTGCTGTATCTATGTTTACAGAAAGATAGCCATAGAAGAACTAAATGGAAAAATCCATGGAAGCATATAGCCATGGAAAAATTCAATCAAATCTGAGGGATTTGATTTTAGTTTGGCTTAGTATATCCAGTGAGGTTTTTTAAAAATAGTTTTTACAATGTTTCTTGTATATATATATATATATATGTGTGTTTCTCAATGGTCTTAGTTCTTACAGAATGCTACCTGCAGTTGATTTTAGGGAATGGGCATACTTAATGAATTAGTCTTAACTGAAATCACTTGCTAACCAAGAGATATATATTCTCATAAGAAAAGTATTTGAGATGGGAAATAGCACTGAATTTTTGAAACTACTAGCTTTTCAGTGCAGAGAGCCTCCTCTTCAGTCACAGAGAAAGGGCAAACTGAGAAGAATAGAGTGCTAGCCAGACATGAATCTAGAATAACAGCAGGAAGGACATGAGCCTGGGCCACACATCAGCCTGGGCTGCCTCTAGCTGCCAACTTCCCAAAATCACCCATGACAACCAGCAGCACTAGTACCTGGCTGACATGAATAACCCATCCATATCCTTTGTGAACAGAACCCAAATGCAAAGAGGTCCTTCACACAACCTCTGCCCAGTCCCTCAGCCCTCTCACCCGCCACTTCAAATACGGGATCTTTTGTCTAATGGATGCTAAAGTAACGTGAATAGTGTGGATACAAATACAGATTGTTTTTACACCAAGAGGTTGCAGGCAGGACCAAGAGCAACAGGGGTCTTCATCACAATGTAATGAAAAGACTTTCAGCTCTTGCACCAGTAACCAGAGAGTATGATCTATAGTTAGTTAATGGGGCATAAAGTGACTAGTGGTTAGTTTTTGTGCGTTAATAACAAGCACAACGGCAGTAACTCTACTCAGAGCTGAGCACATTTGGGTATCATGATGTCAAAGGTGCATTAAGGGTTATGTTCTCAAAAACCAAAGAGCTAAGTTAACCCTTTCGTGACCCATGGGGCATTTGTCACCCACCAACATTTTCAGTCTCTCAGGTTTCTTGGGAAACTGCTATCCCAGCTGTAGTACATGCTGCCACCTAGCAGGAACTTGTATAACCATGTGTATCTTAAGAAACGAGCCTTATCCTACCAACCCTACCATCAGGGTCCACTTGGGAGACGTGTCCCACATAATTGCATCAAAATACATATTAACCTCAAAAATTTTTTTCCTCCTTGATTTCAGTCTGCCTTCCATTACTGAAAACACATGGTATCAGCAAAAAATTCAAAGCAGAAAACATTTCTGTTACAAAAGGGTTAACAATATCCCTTTCTGCCCTTAATTGGTGAAAAATACTACAGAGCTCCCAGAATTGTCCTGGGTTGTGCATCTTCAAACATTTCAGTTTCTTCATACTAAACACTGGTAAGAAAATATCTCACAAGTGCCCTAGTCAGGACAAGATGAACCACAAGGCAAGAAGGCTGACCAACTTGCCCTGAAAATCATTTCATCTTCTGCTCAGGGAAGCTTCCCCTTCCCGTGGCAATGTTCCACAAGACTTCCTGATCACCAATTCCTAAATTATGGACTGGGCCCTTTAAAAAGGCCTGGATCGAGTGATTATGCTAAAGCTCTGAGGAAGGCTTCTCAAAGGAAAGACAATTATTTCCTCAGTCATTCAGTTCCATGAGAGACTCTTCCCTCAAATACTACTTCCTCTATTGACCAAAAAGTTAACTACTCCTGTCTTCTAAAAAGCTCATGATCAGACTCATAATGACAACCCTTGCAGTGGGAGTTGAACTTCCTAACAGAGATAAACAAGAACTTACACTGACAGGGAAATAAACCTCAATGGAAATATCATCTCTGCCACTCTCTTAAAAAAATGTACTGGGTTCTCCTTGGTCTACACTATTCCTTTCACAGTATTATCTCCCCCCTTTCCACTGCACAAGGAGGAAGCATGAAGCATAGCAGGGGAAACCCTTGGTCAGAGGGAATCCATAGCCTAATATCTGGGGGAGAGACTTCCACCAGAGCAGACTAGAGTTTAAAGGAGTCCATCTTGTCTGCCTCGGCTAAAGGAAGGGCCCTATAGAAGGCTCCTCTGTAACACTGTATAGTGACCAAAGACCAGGAAAATAGACCCAAGAGGTACATAGCAACCATTTCTACCCCAGGCCCAAAAGAGCTGCATTTAGTTATACCTTGGGAGTGAAAACTGTAAAGTCCCTTCTAAAGGGGAAATCGCCAATTAAAAACAAAAACACCAGAAAAGCAGCAAATGAATGCTGATTTTTCCTGTTCTAGTTCCCATTATTCAACTGTAGTGGAAATACATCAAAGTGCAAAGCACAAAATAGCAGATTCCCTCTTCTAACCTGTGGGCATCTTACTTCTTACCCTGCCTCCTTCCCCATCAACCCCATGTCAGTCAGTGCCTCCCTTCTGCTTGGCCAGAGTACGCTTTAGCTCCCGCAGGTTCTCCGTTAGCACCTCTACCTCATCCAGGCGGCCACACTGCTTGGCATCAAAGATGTACGCCTTGATATTATCAATCTGCTGGAGGAGGAGCTCCTCCTCGATGGGCTCCTCACCCTCTGGCCCACTATCACTGTCCATTTCAAAGGGGTTGGTACAGGGAGGTTCCTCGAAGGGGTTGCCAGGAACAGGCGGGCTAGAGAGCCTCTGGGGGGAATGTTCATCTTCCTCATCAAAAGGGTTGGGTGGTGGGCCATCTGGGGTAGTGAAGGGATTTCCTGCTACTGTCTCCTCCTCATCATCCTCCTCTTCCTCAAAAGGATTATACTCTTTTGGGATCTGGGCTGAGGGGCCAAAGGAAGCTTCTGCAGCAAGAGGGCTCCCAATTACCTCTTCTGCAGGGCTGGAAAGATCTTCCTCATCAAAGGGGTTTGGGGCAGGCACCTCATTTAGTTGTGACATGGTGCTCTGAGGGAAGAACTCCTGGCCAAGGGCTGAGGGGCCAGACCACACTCTGATGGGCTCCCGAGCTGAGATGGGTGAAGGGTCCATGGAAACCATGGTGCTCTGAACTGGGGGAGAACCTAGGTCCAGAGCATAAGCAAGGTGAGTACGAGGCTCTCTGCCAGGCTCCAGCTGAAAAGGTCTGACTTCTCGGAAGTCCAGAGACCGCGTCCGTGTGTGCAGAGACACTGCCTGGAACTGCTCCCTTTCTCGTTCCCACTCCCGTTCCCGTAGCATCTGCAGTTGTTCCCGTTGCAGGTCCTCCTCCTCAGCCTGCCTCCGGGAAAGCTCGATGGCCTTTTCTGTCTGCTGCTGGTCATACTCCTCCTGCAGTTGCTGCAGGTTCTCCTGCAGTGTGCACATTTCATCTGTCCGGCCTGCGGCCTTGGCCTGCTTGATGAATGATGTGATGTTGTGGATCTGCTGGAGGAGGGGGTCCGAGTCTTCACTGTGGCGCTGCCCTCCTGAGAGTGGGAGCCAACCCTCAGCCTTCCGCAAGGGGGCAGGGCCTCTGCAAAGAGACACCACCTCGCCATTGGCTGTGCGAGACGCCAGGTCACTCTGCCTTTTCTCCAGCCTTCGCTGGGATTCCAGGGCAGTCTGGAGAGAAGAAACAGAGTCACAGGCCAACAGCAGATGCTCTCCTCTGAGGTCCCTTCTATCCCATGCTAGCAAGATGCCAATTTCCCACCTCAGGACAAATACAATCAACTGCTACAACCAAATTATGCTCTTTTTTGGGGGAAAAAGAGAGTGGCAGACTGATTTTCAAAAATAAAATAAAACAAGTCACAGTAAGCTAAAGGATGAGATTAATCAGGCCATCTACTTTTCTCAAAGCTCTGAAGTCTGTGACTACTCATCTGGACTTTGTTGTTGTTGTTATGTGCCATGGAGTTAGACTTGACTCATAGCGACCCCTCCTTGGGTTTCTGAGGCAGTATCACTACGGAAGTAGATTGCCCAACCTCCTTCCAAGGAATGGCTGGTGGGTTTCAACCGCCAGCCTTCTGGTTAGCAGTCAAGTGCTACCAGAACTCCAGAGTCTCAAATAATGTTAAGCATGCATATTATTTTCTGTTTAATATTACATATCCCAGGGTGTTCTACAAAGAACTTCCTAGCAGCTACATCCTCTGAAACCTGTATCAGAGGGAGAAGTGCCAGTCTCTATGGTACTTTGAACAGGCGAAAATCAGAACCTCTGAAAGAAAAAGAAACACACATTCTGTGTTTTTTGTAGACCAGAGGTAGGCTGGCACAGAAGCAAAGTCCAAACCAGACAGTGGGAACCATTCTGCTTTACTGCAACCTCACAGGCCCTTTTGGACTTGTGAAGGTCTCTGTGCTCCAGGAAGCCCAAGGAGGAAACCAGAGCCAGGGTCATTTCACTCACTTGTCTCTCCAGGATCCTCCTTTTCTCCATTTCCTGCTTCCTTTTCTTTTTCAGGTCCTCAAATTGTTCTTTGGTTGGCAGTGACATCAAGCCAAGCAACTTTTCCTGTAGGCAGTCACAATTGTACACTTAAACCCTTTTGGGGAAAACAATAATCAACCACAAGCCCTATGATGAGTCTGTGTTAGCTAAACCATTACTGTGGTGTAGTGAATTACTGGCATTTCTAGCCAATCTTTGTGACTCTCACCAGATTACTGGGTGGAACCATGCAAATAAGGTGTACAGAACTCTAATATGCTGCTTGGCTTAAAATAAGCCCTCCTAGAGGCAGAAAGGGGATCTCACTGTCATCAAGAGAACACCCAGAGGTGGAATGGAGCAGAGTGCATCCTTGGACCTGAGATCCCTGCGCTAGACCTCCTTGGCAGAGACCACTGGCAGAGACTACTCACAGAGACATGGCAGCAGCAGAACCAAGAAGCAAGATACAGAGCAGTGGGCTTGCAGGATCACAGAATAAGAAAGCTGAGCGTCCTTGAGCAGAAGCCTTGCTGGCAGAATGGGGTACACCTAAGTGTAACTATTGGCACAGCTGAAAAAGCTTTATAACACTTCCCCAAGCAAGGCAGAAGCCAGGCCAAGAAGTCAAGGGTCAGAGAGGCATGCCTGAGGGCACAGCAGAGGGGAGACCTGATCAAAGAACTGTATCCTGAGAGCATTCCTGAACCTGAGTTGTAGCCTGTTACTTCCCTAATAAACCCCATAATCATGAATATTGTCTGTGAGCTCTGTGCGGCCAATGCAATGAATTATCAAACCCAGAAGAAAAGTAGTTAGTGCCATGGGAAGGATGGTTGGTGTCAGAATTGGCAGAAAGGCTGAAGGGTGGCAGCATGTTTGGCTTCATAGGAGTAAGCCTTACACTGTTGATAGTGACACTGTTTTCCCCTTATGATGCTGGAGATCAGAGAATGCCACCTCCACATCCTTTCTGCAATTATGCTCTCAGAGTCACATTAACTGACGTGGGTTAGGAAGGGGCCTAACCCTGAAATCAGGCCAGAGAGTCACCTTCCAAATCATCTGGCCTTTTCCCTATGAAATAAATGATCAGCATCAGATATCCCAGATGCCCCTGGGTCAAACATCACCTTCTTGATGAGGCCTTTTCTGTGAGCACCTATGTAAATTTGTAAACCTCCATCACAGCCCTCCCAAGTGCCCCCCTTTCTCCATAGCACTTTTCACTATCTTACATACTACGCATTTTATTTGTTTACTGCCTACCCTTTCTCTAGAATGTAAGTTTTACAATAACAGAAATGTTTGTCTTTTTTGTTCCCTACTGGATACCCAGCACCTAGAACACTGCCTGGCACAACACAGGCATTCAAGAAATGATTGCTGAATATAGTCATTAATCAAAAGAAGAGAAGGCCTCCTTCCTGCAGTACAGTGTTAGGAAACTAACCCAATAGGAATCAATTAGAACTCTTTGCCAGGGAGTCCCAGAGGTTTTCCGAGGTAGAAAGATACAACTCAGATCTAACCACCTAGGTTTAACCTGCCTCTGAACCATCAGCCATTTCCTCCTAACCAGTGTCCCAGGAAGAGTCTCTCAGGAGCTTGTCCCCAGGAAGAAATGCTATGTACAAGCATGCCCAGCATGGCAATGCTCCTAATAGCAAAATCACAACCTATCAAATGCCCAACTAAAGGGGGATGGCTAAATAAATGATGGCAAATACAGCCAAAGCAGTATTCTATAGCCATTTGATCAACAGTGATCATGCTATAAAACTTAGGGAAAAAAGAGACAAATAAATTTGTAAATAGGCACTAATTATAACCAATATATATAAAAATGCACACAGAAGAAAATATTTCAGAGTGAGGAGTAATTGTACTGGGGATATGGGACTAAAAGTAGTCTTACTTTTCTCTGAAATCCAGTTTTCTCTAAATGTGGCACAATGCATTTATAATCTTAAAAAATAATAAATAAATAAAAATTAAACAAGCATGGATTCTGCTTTCATAACACAGGATGTGCCAAGTGATATATTTATGCCACCACAGGTTGGCTTACCTGTACAAAAAGTGTAGCTGAGTATCTGATCATCCTCTGCAGCCGCAAAGTGTTTGGATGTGGCGGAGGGTCCTGGTTCAAGCCTAAGGTTAAGATCTTCTTACTGAATTGAAGCAAACGCATCAATGTAACAGGTGCTACCAGCCTCAGAAACAAGGGTGAACAGTCCCTGGAGGTATCAAGCTTTCATGGGGAATCAGGAAGATTTGTAGAGGAGATGGATAAGTGACTCAAGTGTTTCTTGAGGACAAAGCCCATTTCTTACCCTTTGCCTGGACTCACGGCCCCTACCATAGCACAGGGTACATGACACACACTTGGTCACTAAGGGACTGACCACACAGGCAGGGCCAGCTTTGTGAGCATCGGACCTATGCAGCTGCATAGGGTCCAGCACTTAGAAGGGCCTATGCTTGGTTTAATGCTCTGATGTCACTGTGAACAAAAGCTCTGCATTTTCACTTTGCACCAGGCCCTGCAAACTATGTCCTGCATGGATGGACAAAGATTCTTCATCTCAATGAACTTTATACACCTCAAAGCAGGGAGCTCTGGTAGAGTAGTGCCTAAGGCACTTGACTGCTAACCAGAAGGCTGGTGGTTCAAACCCACCAGCCACTCCTTGGAAGGAAGGTTGGGCAATCTACTTCCATAGTGATACTGCCTCAGAAACCCAAGGAGGGGTCGCTATGAGTCAGGTCTGATTCCATGGCACATAACAACAACAGCCAATCCCATCGTTAAAAAACCACTGTAGGCCTGAAAGAAAAAGACTAGAACCTAGGTTTATATCTTGGTGTCAATACTTTTGTTAATTGTAATGCCTTTTATCACCTATAAAATGGGGGGTGTTGACTCCATTTATTCCAATTACCTTATATGGAAATACCCAGTAATGGGGACACAGTTGGTGTCAATACATAGCTCTTATTCTTTTAAAGTACTGAACATTAGAGATCCCTAACCAAAAGTTACTGTGATACATCAAGTGTCAGACCTGTCACCTTTCTCAGTCTCCACCTCATGTATTTCCACTGTCCCTGAGACTCTGGGTAAGCCCAGGCCTATTAGCCATCCACCACTTCATTTAACATAGCACCTTCTCCACTTGAACCAGATGAGATAGGCCATACCTTAAAGCATCTATTAGCTCATACACTTTCTGCACTTCTACTCGAAGGTCATTTGCATGTTCCAGACTGTAGGTTGTCTCCCCAGCACTGAAGAGAAATCACAAAGACATTTGATCTAAATTTCATCATGCTGATTGAAAATTGTAGTTCAGAAGGGCTCTAAGGATTTAAGGCCTCACAAAGGCACACACAACCAATTTTCTCAAAGTGGAATCTTATTATATATAATGCAGGGTTCATTCCTTTTCAGAACATCAGTGCTAATTAACTAGTAGCTGCTTTCCAATATGCAGGTACCAGAGAGACATACTCATGCCTAGGAGTCTTATGCTGATCACTAAAATAGATAGGACTAAATCTACTTCAACTTACTTTCCCTATGTAATTCCACAATGTCTAATAAAATATACGTAGTGGCTTATTAAATGAGTTGGCTACACTATACCAGAGCAGGAAATCACTTGGCTTTTCTCACTTAAACATTATTCGGGGAGAAGGGGAACAATTAGAGAGCTGACAAAGGAATGCCCCTGCAAGCAGCCTCCTGCATGGAACCGTGCTGACTGTTCCCTACATGAGAAAAGCATTATGACTTCAAATCAAGAAGGGAGGGAGGAACTCTGCATAGAAAGGAGAAGGAATATCAAGGAAAGACCAGTAAACCAGTGTGGTACTTAAGGTTATGTGTCAACTTGGCTGGGCAGCAGGAATCTGCTGCAAGCAGCCAAATAGCTAGTTGAGGGATGTGGTCTGCTTCCAGTATACAAGAAGCTTTGAGAATGGTCTGAAGATTTTGGAACACTTGAATCTTTTTTTTTTCTTTTTTAAATTGTGATCTGGGTAAAAATTTACAAAGCAGATTCATTTTCCATACAGCAGTTCATATACACTTTGTCTCGTGACATTGACTACAATTTACCCCAATGCAACAGCTCCCCTCCCACTTCCCCCTGATAGTTACCTCTTCCCTGTGTCCATCTCTCCATGCACTCCTGCCCCATGAACTGTCTCCCTGTGCATAAACAGCCCTTCTTTCTCCCATGATTGTTCTCTCCAAGGAGTGTATCTACCTCAGGTAAATATTCAATTCATATGCCTGTCTTTTGTTTGTCTGGAAGCCACAGGTGTGAGTTCAATTCCAGACCTGAAGGGCAGCTAGGGGCCATAGTCTCAGTGGTTCCTTCAGGCTCTATCAGGCCAGCAAACCTGGTGTCCCCCTCCCCTTTTTTTTTCTCCAAATGATTTTGAGTTTTGTTCCACATTGTTCTCCCTCTCTATGCAGAATCTCCTACATAGATCCCCTTTTGAGTGGTTGACAGTGGTAGCCGGGCACCATCTAGTTCTTCTTGTCTCACAGTTGTATAGGCTGAGGATTGCATGGTGTACCAGTTGCAAGGACTAATTTTTCCCATGAATCTTTGACTTTCTTCATTCTTCTTTGCTCTGGACGAGAAGAGACCCACTGTTGCATCTAGATAGTTCCTTGTAAGCTTTTAAGACCCCAGTCACTATTCACAATAGTAGGATGTAGAACAATATTTTTGTGTAGTATATTATGCCAATTGAACTTGATGTCCCCTGTGACCATGGGCCCAAACCCACAGGTCCAATTACTTGCTCCCTCAGGGTGGTTGGCTGTGGCCAAGAAGTTATCATAATTTTGCCCCTTGTTAGTTCTGGACATTCTTACAGCACATATAAATATGTATGTAGAAGTATCACCTGCCAACCTTACATAGGGTCGAGGGTATACTCTCTTTTGCCCAGACATACCAGATCATTCAGTCTGTCTATCCATTTGTCTACCCATAGATTAATGTTTGTTATCATTAACAACACAGTACTGTATATGTAAAAAGGTTTATCTTTGTTGTCTGTACCTCTTTTTAATGACCCTTTGCTTTCTTTATGTATGATGTCCTTGATGTCATCCCACAACTCATCTGGTCTTCGATCACTGTTGTTCAAGGCATCAAATCTGTTCCTCAGATGGTCTCTAACTCAGAGGGGATAAACTCAAATTCATATTTTGGCTCTCATTTCTTCAGTTTCAACTTCAACTTGCATATGAGCAATTGAGGATCTGTCTGTTCCACAGTCAGCCCCTGACAGTGTTCTGACTGATATTGAGCTTCTCTATCATCTCTTTCCACAGATGTAGTCAATTTGATTCCTACGTATTTCATCTGGTGTGGTCCACATGTATGTACACCAAACAACCAAACCCACTGCTATCAAGTTGATTCCAACTCACAGCAATCCCCAATGGGTTTCCAAGGTGGTAAATCTTTATGGAAGTAGATTGCCCAGTCTTGCTTCCATGGAGTGGTTGGTAGGTTTGAACCACCAATCTTCTGGTTAGTGCCTTAGTCACTATGCTACCAGAGCTACGTGAAAAAAGGTATCTTCAATGCATTAAGTTGTTGGTCTTGAAATATTCTACAATGCAATATTCAGTGTCATTTCTATCATCAAGGCCATATTTTCAAACTACCAATGCTTCTTCTTTGTTTCCAACTTTTGCATTCCAATCACTAGAATTATCAATGCATCTTCACTGGATGTTTGGTCAATTTCAGACTTCAGAAGTTGGTAAAAGTCTTCAATTTCTTCATCTTTGGCTTTATTGATTGGTATGTAAATTTGAGTAATAGTTGTATTACTGGTATTCCTTGTAAGCATATGGCTATTATCCTATCACTAATTGTACTGTACCTTAGAATTGATCTTGAAAACTTCTTTCTGATGATGAATGTGACACCATTCCTCTTCAATTTGTCATTCCCAGTGGTAGACCACATGACTGTGCAATTCAAAATGGCCAATACCAGTCCATTTCAGCTTACTAATGCCCAGGATATCAATCTTTATGTGTCCCATTTCATCTTTGCAACTTCCAATTTTCCTAGATTCATACTTTGTACATTGCACATTCTGATTAGTAATGGATATTTGTAGCTGTTTCTTTTCATTTTGAGTCATGCCATATCAGCAAAAAAAAAAAAAAAAAAAAAAAAAAAAAAGCTTTACTCCATCCATGTCATTAAAGTCAACTGTACTTTCAGGAGGCAGCTAGCTCTTCCCCAGTTGTATTCTGAGTGCCTTCCAAACAGAGCATTTTTCATCGTCTGGTACTATATCCAATAATCATTCACTGCTATTCGTAAGATTTTTAGTGGACAGTTTTATCACAAGTGGATTGTCATGTCCTTCTCCCTATTCTGTCTCAGTCAGTCTGACGCTCTGTTGAAATGTGTCCACTATGGGTAACCCTGGTTCTAGTAGCAACACCCCAAATTCTAATTCACACAACACTAGCCTTCAGGAGAAGGCTAGATCTGGCCTGTGGCCTGTGGCTTGCTAAGCCCTGCTCTAAAGGAAATGCCTGCTTTCAGCCCTGGTACCTTATTCACCCAGGCAATTCCCTAGCTCCAGATGCTGCCCCTAGTACTGGTGCCTATTGTTTAAGGCTTGTCCCAAACCTACTCACTCAGCATAGCTGGAGGTCACCTGAACATGGGGACATGTTTTAACATAGCTCAAGTGACTGTAATGTGGACCTACTGAAATATAAGCATTGAGATGGTTCTTTTGAGTTGGTCACAGAAGAAAAACATGGCATAAGTTAGATTTTCGTTTTCAGAAGTGACCTACAATGTCATAAAACATTCAGCACAGAATTAGGAAAGCAGAGAGGAAGAGCGTACTTTAATGATGCGGCCATCCTGATGTATTCAGGAGCTTTCTGGTCAACTTTCTCCATGCAAAGTCGTAATTTCTAAGAATAAAAAAGAAGAAGTGTATTTGGAAACAAATAGTGATGATGATTGCACAACAAGATGAACACAACATCACTTAACTGTACATGTAAAATAAGATGAAATGCCAAGTATTTTTGTTACAAACATTTTCTAAAATGTGGTGAAAAAAAGAATGCAATGTTTTTTTTTTTTTCAAGTTGTCACCGATTCCCTGATTTACGAAACTCCTTTATAAGCACAAAACCTTCCCATACGGAAAGAGAAGGTGGAGTTTTAGCCAGATGTTTTCGAGAAGATTAAGGCCTTTCAGGACACAAGTCAATGTATCACCAAGGCAGAGAAAAGGACTTAGCTACTACGTTCTTTCTTGGCCAGGTGGTACCAGGCAAAAACAAGACATCAGCACAAGACACTGTTAGGGCTCACCTCAAAAAAGAAGGAAGCAAAAAGTACACTGTCTGTTTATGAAAATAAGACCTCAGTCATGAACGCCACACAAATGATGGATATAGCTACAATGTTAGTTCAGCACAGGGTTAAATTAACACCATACCAGTAGCTTGGGTATTTTCATAGTGATTCCAGAAACATGGCCATTATGATACAGAACTTCTAATAGTGACTATTCAGTGGTCATCAAATAAAAGTACACTATTGTTCTGCTCAGGGTTTTTCTGGAGCTGCCTGGGCTGCTTTCTTTTTCCCTATTTCCTATGCCTCTCTGCTACACCCTTAGCTGGCTAATTCTAACTCCACCTGCAGGTCTCACCTGGCCATTAGGAGGCTAAGCCTAGCCTCACTCCTAGCTATACTATGTTCCTCCTAAAGTGTGTATCTGCTTAGGGTATTCTGGGATCACTGCTAGTAACAATAGTTGAGGCATGTGAACAAAAGTAAAACCTATGGGCAGTTTCCTAAACTCATAAAGCCGAAGACTCCCAAGTGAGTCTCCCAAGTTGCTCCTGGCCAAGTATCCAGCCACCATCCCCAGTTCTGACCTCACTCACCAAACCTGCCCACACCCTGTGTCAACCAGTATTCCACCCCTTGCCCCTGGGCCACAGTGCCCCCATTTTCCTGCAAAGCAAGGAAGATACATGTTGGTTACAACATACCCAAGTGACTCACTCTGGGTCAGAGTTGGGTAATGTGAGCATGACCTTTTCTTCAGCAGAAACTTAAAATGATTCAAAGGAACCACTAACTTCCAAAAGCATTCTCAGGACTCTGCAGACATGTATACAATAAACAGCCAAGTCTGCCTGGTGAGTCAGAGGCAGATCCTGGGCCATACACATGTCTCACCTCATAGAGCTTCACAATGTCAGGTGTGTGCTCCTTCTCGTCAATCTGCTGCTCTCTCTTGAGCAGTGTGTCCTTGCAGTGTGTGCAGCAGCGGATGCGGTCCTCATCCTTCTCATCCAGCACTGAGCTCACACTGCTCACGCTGCTGATGCTGCCGCGGCGGGAGCCATGGACACTGTTGGGTGATTGGCTGGGGCTGGTGTGGGTGTTCAGGGAGTCCTTGCTGGCATTGGTGAGCTTGTCTATAAACCACAACACAGGGCAGGCAGCAATGATCCCACTCCCTAGCATCCAAGTATTCCATGTCCCAGGACAGCAGTGTGTCCATCTATACATGCTTGATTTGAAGCATTAAAAGCCCAGGCTCTGCCTATGGGCAAGAAGAAGGCACACATCTGCCTTCCTGGCATTAGACTCTGGTGGGAATGGCCTCCCACTGCCATTCAGAGAAAGTCCAAATAGCCTAGGGTGGCTGTCTTCAAGGCTCAGAAGCCCACCCTAGCCTGGCCTCACCACATCCCACCATTCTCCATATTTTCCGTGCCTCAGACACAACTACATCCTCTCCCCGGAAACTGCCCTCCATGTTGTTGTTGTTGTTATGTGCCATCGAGTCAGACCCAACTCATAGTGATCCCTCCTTGTGTTTCCAAGGTAGTATCACTACCGAAGTGGATTGCCCAACCTTCCTTCTGAGGAGTGGCTGGTGGGTTTGAACTGCCAGCCTTCTGGTTAGCAGTCAAGTGCACTACGCTACCAGAGCTCCC